TAGTCTATAACAAAATATTAATTTAATAATTCAATATCAATATTTTGATCAGCTTAATACAATTTCAAAGCTACTTGTTTGCAAGATTTGAAATGTACTTTTAAAAGAGGAATGCAAATTATTTAAATATTAAAAGATATTTGTTTTTATTATATTATTTATTTTTAAGTTTAACATGTTGAGTTAGAGCTCAACTATAACTCATATTTATATATTTTATTTGAAATACTAATATAATATTAAAAACAAGAAAAAGATATAAAAGATAATTATATTAACTAAAAATAAAATTCCAATTTACTAAATATGAAAAGTAGAAAAATAAAGGAGAAAAAGTATAAATTTCAAAGAATTTTAATTGATTAAATTATATTTACTTAGAATAAATAAGTATAAAAATATAAGTATAAATATATAAAAGTATAAAAAATATAAAAGTATAAGATAAAAAAAGTATAAAAATATAAAAAGTATAAGAGTATGAAGTAGAAAAAGTATAAAAAGTATAGGAGTACAAGATAGAAAAAGTATAAAAAGTATAGGAGTATGAAGTAAAAAATAAAAATATATGAATACTATAATTAATAATATATAAGAAAATTTTAAGTTCTTTATATAATTTTTATAATTTCATGAAATATTACAAATTATAGAATTAACGAATTTTATAATATAATTATAACAATAAGTAACAAAATTTTTTGAATTTATATTTACATTTTAATAAATAATTAATAAAAATTTAAAAAATATATTATAAAATATGAATAATAAATTTATTAGAATTTTAATTATAATAATAAAATATTAAAAAAATAAATATTATTATTTATTATATAATTTTAAAAAAACTTATTTTTTTATATTATAAAAAATATATTTTATTTCTTATAATATAATTAATAAAAATTTTATTTTAATTTCAAACTTTTATTATTTATTATATATTATTTATAATATAAACTTAAAATATTTATTATTAATTCAAACAAAAATTTAAATTTAAAAAAAATATTATAATAATGAATAATATTATTTTTTTATATTAATAAGAAATTGTAATTGATTTTTTGCAAATTTTAAGATAAGACAGAATGTTAAATATAAAGAAAATTAAATATATATCAAAATATTTTAAAGATTTGAATTTATTAAAGCAAATTCAATTAAAAAATGTATTTGTTTTATATATAATTGAAAATAATATATTTAGTAAATTTAATAAATAATATAAATTTTAATTAATAAATTTTATTTTTTTATATTATTTATTATAAAATATATAAAATTCTAATTGAGATTTTATAATAGTTTATAATCTAAACAAATTAGAAGTATATATATATAAAACTTATTATTTTACTTTTATAATATAAATAAGTAATAATATATATATTTATTTAATTAATACATGTAGTAAATAATCTTAAAAATTAAATTATATTTTTAAAAATTATATTACTTTTCAAAAATAATATATAAAATTACAATCTTAATTTTTGGTTATTCTAAAATTATTTCTAATTTTTGCTATAAATTTCTTAATTTTGAACAATTTCAAAATTGAATTAATCAATATTTAAAATCAAATTTTTATAAATTATAACTAAACATTTTTCAAATTTTTACACAATCATTTTTTAAAGATTTTGAATATTCTAAAATTTAATAAAATTCTGTAATATTCTAAAATGCAACTTCTTATAGGAATAGAAATATGATTGCAAATATATTTTACAAAAATAGAAAAGCTTGTAAAGTAATTTTAGTGTTTTCTTTATTTTTAATTCACATGTTTTGTGAGAAGTTATTTTTGTACTTTTCTGGTTGGTCTCTTGTTTGAATTATTATCATCACAATGTTTGGAACTTATCAGTGCTCAAGCGATATTGCTTGACAAATAAAACTAGTTTTTTCTTGATAACAAACTTTAACCATGTCAGTAAAAGCTAAGAAAAGAATTCTTTGTCTACATTTATTATAATATTTAGAATTGCGTTATCATGACATATTAGTAAACACTTGCGCTATTTTCCTTATAAAAACTGGTAACTTTTTTCTTATAAATAATTTTCTTGTCTAGTTTTTCTTCACATCAACTGAAAATCAATAATTATTCTAAAGTTGCTCCAAAAAACTAACGTTAAGTCAAGTTTAAACAATTAATTATGCAATAGTTAAAAATATTATAAAAACCAATTATATAGCTTCTTTCTTGCTCTTAACAGAGTTAGTCACTGATAACTTTTGCCGAAAAAGTGTTATCATTATGAAAACTTAAATTTTGTATCTTTATTAATATTATCCATAGCCGAAGTTGCCAACAAATATAAAATTGTTCAGGGGAATGCATCTGGGATTTTCTTGGAGAAAGAGCATTTTATTTCAAAAAATCAGCTTATACTTGTGAAAAAAGGACATTTAAAATCATTTATGACACAAATTAGAAATCTGTTAAGGTAGAGCAGGAAACGGAAGATCGACATTAGCTAAAGTTTTAAGCGAGGCTGAGGATTTTTTGGAGAGTTCGTCAAGGGTAGCTGAAACCAGGAAAAGGAGTTTGACCCGAAAGTGTTGTTAAAGGGAAATGAGAATTTGATGATGTAATACTTCGCTTCCTCCTAAGGATGTGTTAGCTAAAATAACCAAAGATAGTGATTATTTGGATAGTGGAGTGTATCAAGTTTTTTTTTGTTACTGGTGATAGGGTTTATTGAAAGCATATAATATATTTAAGAATGTTATCTTCGATGATCAAATTGGTAACTAAACTACAATTTATCCGCATAAATTTTGTGAAATTTGAAAATGATGAAGCATGCGCCGCAGAGAAGATTAAGTAGTGAAAATCCAAAAAAAAATCTTAGATTTTTGTGTGGTAATCTTATTTTCTTTAAATGAAAGGTATAATATATAAACGCGGCATTGATACTATGGATGTATGATTTGATAATGGTGTATTTTGGACTCTAATCGAAGGAGTGTTTAAAAGGTATTTTATATAAATAATATTTTTAACAGTTTAAGATTGGCCTTATCCGTCGTACATTAAATAGATCTGGAGGTGAACCCATCGCCGACTTATATTTGGAAGGAAGTAATCAATATCGTGGATGGTTTCAATTATCTCTGTTAACGTTAAGTAATTTTTTTAAACAATTGAATTACATCATACATTCTTCTTAAACAGATAAAATATAACTCTTCATGTTACTTAATAAAAAAGTCGCAGTTTCTCCCTTACCCAACAATAATCACTCATGGATTGATCTTGGATGAGAAAGGATGAAAATGTCAAAGTCTCTAGGGAATATGGTGGAATCCAAAACAATTACGCAAGGTGGAAAGGTAAAATTATTTATCAGTGTATTGAATACTTGAATATATATATATTGTTATACTTACTCTATCTTTATATAGAACTTGCAAACTCATCCTCCATATGGTGCAGACATATTAACTTTTAGTTGCGTCATCTGAATACACAACGGACGTAAACATCGAAAAAACATTTTTGAGTGAGTGTTAGAGATTTGTTTGATGCTCATAATTATAATTTCTTTTTAATTATAGATAAGTGGTTAATAGTATGCGTAAATATCGTAATACGACGCGCTTCATGCTTGGAAACTTGAATAACTTTACTTATAAAGATCAAGTGAAAATTGAATTGTTAAACGTTAACGTTAAAATGGATTATCATTTACGTATTCGGTGAACAAGTTAAGCACATGCAGAATTTTCTATGTCAAAGTATGATCAAATTTTTATATTAAATACGTAATTCTATCACTCTTCAAAATTGTGAAGGATCGATTATATGCAGATCACACTAATGGCTTGAGCTGGCGAGCTGTACAAGCAGTCCTTTATCAAGTAAGAAAAATTTCGAATTCATTTAGATCAATTAATAAATATATTACACGTATTTATATTGCACCTATTGTGTCACATCTTGCCGAAGAAATTTATGAAAATAATCAGGTATTAGAGAATTTTATCATTATATGAATATTTTTGGAATTTTCATGTTTTTCGATTATTTTTGAATTTGCAATTTTTATGTTACTATTGTAACATTTGTTCCTCCTTCGAAAATTTTGCTCCGCAAAATCAATTTTGAACTTGATTTTTATATTCGTTAACTTCTTTTTTACTCAATTGATGTATCTGAGAAGATGTCATTCCTATTTTGCATAATAGTGTTTTCAACTTGGTTGGTATCATTTGTATCATTTGGTAACTTAATATATGTCTATGTGAAACTTATAGATTCTATCGATTCTTATAAGTTTTATTTCTTTCCTACTTTAGGAGAAGGAATGGAATAATCCATCGATTGCAAGTGAATTTGAGATTTTAAGGGATCTGTGAAATGAAGTTAATTATTTGCTAGAAATGGCTAGACAAGACGAGTTGAGTTGATATGAAAATAATATTTCGAAAGTTTTTCGTTCTTTCAAATTTAGATATATAACAATTAATTAATTAATTAATTTTTTTAAGAATGATTAAAAGCTCTTTAGAGGCAAACGTGTACTTGCGTGTCATCGACGAGAATTCGACGTTGAATAAGTTACTGAGAAATCAAGATGACTTTATGTCATGCAATTTTTCAAGCCTTATTGATGATATAACGATTTCAAAATATATAGAATCTTTGCAAATTATCAACTAATTCAGAACATTTGGCTATCGATCAAATTCCACCAATTCACAGGAAAATATGTTTTGGTAAAGAAAGCGACATTGAAAAGTGTCCTCGATGTTGAAATTACCTAGCAATCAATGTAAATGAAGTTTGTAAAAGATGTAATGATGTTTTAATGGCATAGAAGGATCAAATATAATTTTAATAGCTCCAGAATAAAGTAGAAAACGAACAAATTACAAGATATCAATGCAAGTTATAACTCGATATTCAAACGAGTTAATTCCGCAAACTGTGTATCTGCGGCAAGTTTTGTTGAGGATACATTTATTTAATATAAACTTCGGATTCATAAACGCTCTAATCCTAATAAACTAAGAGGTTGCTGGAGTAATAACGCATATTCAATACCTTTTATCGATAGAACTTACAAAAATAAACTCCTTTTTTATAACAACATAACCATTTTCATATTTTAATTATTCTAAATTATCCTCTTCTATCTCCAGAACACTAATATTAATATAAAAATAATCATTGTTGAAATGCGGTAACGGCGATATCGAAGTTAATTTGATGGTGACGATAGCGACGACACCGAAGTTGGTGGTGGTGATGATAACGAAGTTGATAATGATGACGCAGTTAATTTTGGCGGTGGTGATGGTGAAGAACTTTTATTACCGCTAGCTGTTGCTGATGGTAAACTTCTGCTACCACTAGCTGTTGCTGATGGTAAACTTCTGCTACCACTAGCTGTTGCTGCTGGTGGTGGTGACGACCGAGTTCGACCAGCTTTTGAAATTTATTTTTTAAGAACGAATTATTATCATTAATTGCAATAAAAACAAAATAACTTTCACACTCCTCTCTGCAACACGGATATTTTTTTTACCTGTAAGGACACATTTGAAACAAAATGTTAAACAAGATCGCCAATGAAAGCAAAAAGAAAAGCCTTTTGCATTAAGCAAAAAGAAGAAGAGCCTTTTGCGTTAAGCAAAAAGAAGAGCTATATATATAGCGAAAAAAAGTGTCGATCTGAACTGTTGCCAATCCGACCATGGTGGAACGTTTATTAATCTACGTACTATGAATGGGAGATCACTTCCGAGTGGTTTCCGTTTTGTATTCGCGATATGTTATTCGCCAGTAAAAGGAAATTTTTACGCTTTGGATGATATTGTGTGTTAACAATCATTCCATTGGTTGTTTCCTGACCAGTTGCAGTTGATGATGGCTTTGAATAGGAGTAGCGTTCAGTCAACCCAAGAAAACTCAAATGTGAAGCGACGGTACGAAGACTTGCGCCTATGTAGCATATATAAATCCGACCAACCGATAGGACGATTGTTGTGGTAATTTTATATTGCTGTTACTTCGCAACACATAATTATACGAATTTTTTTGAAGCAAAACAAGAAATTAAAATATAATGATAACGTAGAAAATTAAATCATATGCGTAAATTTTAGTTGATAATAAAAAAAATCAGCATATAATTGATTGATCCTTAACATTAAACCGTTGGAATAATATAAATGCAAAATTCATTTACCATCTCCCAGTTGCTCGCCCATCTAACCGTTAGTTAACAGACTTACGCGCTCTAAAAAAATAAATTGCTAACCAACGCAAAAACTACAAATATATACGCACATAGTACCAAAAAAATTAGACACGTGATATTTATCCAATAAAATGGCTTTTTCCAGCCATAACCAATAAAAAATACTCGGTCACATGATATTTATCCAATTCTACTATGACAACCACCTTTTGGCTTTTAAAGAAATGAAATTCTAGATATAGTGATGCCAGAAAACGCTTCATTTTTACAAAAAACAAGTTGATACATAAGTCACATGTTCTAATTTTATTTGTTACCGTTACTAAACTTTTCTCACAATAGCGATAAATTTTATTGGTGATCAACTGTGAGACTATTGCTATATATACGTCCTGCTGATTTAGACATTGAGACAGCACTTTAAAAAATTTCATCACATGCACAATATTCTAGATATTCTCGTTGCTAAAGATCAGGAGCTTACTAGCATTTATTTACAAGAAAATGATTGGTCAAAGATTAATAATATGATTCCTACAATAAGCAATGTAAGAGTAACTATTATTGGTTTGCTTCGGCATTTGGAATCTTTTATTTAAGATCATGTTGATTTAGAAGAATGTATAATAGCAAATTCAATAAAGAATATTGGAACTATATAGAAGATTCAAAATCAATTGGCACTTTATTGGATCCACGTTCAAAAACTAAAACTTTTGTGGATACTAATTAACATAATAAGGCTATAATGTCATTGCAAAAACTAATGACATTTTATAAAAATGACACACTACTAAGCCAAAATGCAACAATAACTCCTGCAAATTTACAATTACAAGACAATAAACGATTTTTTTGAATAACTTATTATGGAGAAAATTACCAAAGAAGTATCTGCTGAAGATGAGTACTTGCAAATATAGCCTCCTGTTATTTAAGTATACAAGGTTCAAGTGTACTCTCAGAACAGGCATTTTCTATGGCAGCAAATACAATAACCAAGATTCAATGCAACTTAAAACCAGATATAGCACATGCGGTAATGTGTTTAAAAAGTTGGATTCAGCAAGTATGTGACAAAAATATAAAAGAAATCGATATTGAAGCTTCTATTTTTTTTTATAAATTATTATCTTTTTTATTTTTGAAATACGAGTTTTTTGTTATTTTTTATCAGAATTATAAATGTTTTTATTTTTGAGATCGAGTATGAAACTTGTCTATTAATAAAAGTATTTTATATCTAGCTTTTATCAAATCAAATTCATTACATTGGCTTTTATAAATACTCCAGAGTAGCTGGAACAGTATTGGAGCAAAACCCGAAGCGGGTTCAATTTGATTGACCATTGCTCCACTACGTATACTATGAACCCAATTCACTCCACTCCATTAACAAAGTCGGATATACGCGCCTAAGAAATATTTATTAAAGCAAGTTTTTTTAAACTAAAAATTATTTATATTATTTTTATTGAAGAGTCATAATTATTTAGATTAGAGTCACTGTAAAATTCAGGAATTTATTACATTTAGTTTTCTAGTTCAGGAGTTTTTTCCGACTTATATTCCGGATCTGAACTTACTGTAACAGTCATAAGTATCTGACCGCCCCTAACTTTCTATAGATCATGCGTAAAATGCATTTACTAATTTCCCCCCAAGTTTTGATTGGACGCAAGTAATTTCCATCGCTGATTGGTTGACTGCACACCGGGTCTTCTAGATTAACCAATAAAATGCATAAATTTTTTATCATTCCGGCAAGACAAATCCGACACAAGAAAATTAAAAATGAAATATACAGAAAACGAATGCTTAAATCTGCCTTGAAGTACTAATAAAAAATGTCGAGGAAGCAATTTTACATATAATCTTGCTTTCCACTCTAACCCTAACCCTAACGCTAAAATTAACCTTTAATATCCTCAACCAATACGAACTTTGGGGGGGGGGGAATTATTAAATTCGCGTAAAATCCTGAAAACAAAGAATAACGCAAATGCTGATCATCTACGCATTTAAGTTGGTAGAACTTCTACATCGTGGGGGGGGGGGGGTGTTTTATGTTCATAAACTTTTACACCCTAATATAATGAAACGGTTACTTTAGGATGTAATATCTTGATGTCTATTGGTCAGATTCGAGCGAAAATACTATCATTTGATTCATTTAGTCGAGATGAATCGAATGGTAGTATTGGTGTTCAAGTTTGATCACTGGGCGTCGAGATATTACGTCCTAAAGGGACCGTTTCAATTTTTAGCGATCAATTTTCATTCGCCAAAAAATGAAACGGTAAATTTAGGACATAATATCTCGACACCAGTGATCAAATTTGAACATAAATACTACCATTCGATTCACCTCGACAAAATGAATCAAATGATAGTATTTTCGCTCGAATCTGACCACTAGACATCAAGATATTGCATCCTAAATTAACCGTTTCATTTTTGCTAAGGTCAATAAAATGAATTTGACATAATATTGTCACGGGTGGATCGTGATTATGCGTAATCGACGATTTTACCTGTAACAATGAGTTGGGGAGTGATTAGACT